ATGCTGTTAACCGAGCTTGCAGGGTGGGACGTTCCCTTTTCTGTACACTTCAGCTTTGGCTTCGGCTTCACTTGCAATTCAATTCGTGACGCCTTCGGGCAAGATTACCCGAGTCGGCCTTCCGCTCGCACGGGCGCCTCCCTCCCTCCCTCCTCCTGCTACTCACCCTCCCCTCTGCCCCTCCTCCACCTCCTCCTCCTCCTCCTCCTCCTCTTCCCCCTCCTCTTCCTCCTCCTCGTCCTCCTCCTTCTCCTTCTCCTCCTCCTCCTCCTCCTCCGCCTCCTCCTCCTCCTTCTGCTGTTCCTCCTCCTCCCCATCCCTCTTCCCTATGAATAACTCCTCCCTGTCACACCCCCAGCATGTCGGTAGGGCAGGCCAAGCGTTTCGACTGAGACTTCCCCACCAGTTGTCACCCTGAAGCTTGAAGGTCTGGAACAATTTCACTGGAGGGCGGGCTGTTTGCAAAATGTGGCTCTCGCCTCAGCGCCGCGCAGGTTCATATTAAACATGTGCAACAGCTTCAAGGATTGAGGGCGGGCCGTTTGCAAAATGTGGCTTTCGCCTTAGAACCACGCACATCCTTATCTAAAGAAAGCTTGCAACAGTCTCATGGATGGAGAGCGAGTCGTGTTCGAAATGCGACTGTCACCCGAGCGCCGCGCACATTCGTCTCAAAAGTGTGCAACAGTTCCACGGATGAAGGGCGCTTCTATCTCAAAAGTTGCCTCTCGCCGTAGCGCCGCGCTCATCCATCCTGAAAGTTTGAAGCAGCTTCAAGGATTCCCGTGGTCGAGGTCCGAGGAATGGTGTTCTGATAAGATTTCGGAGAGATAAGACGCGACAATGCTGCCTATTCGCGGTGTTGAAATCCAATGAGAGGTGTTCTGGCACGGTTTAAGATTGTCAGGACGCAACAGTCACGTTGACTCGCGACGCTGAAGTCCCAGGAATGGTGTTTAGGTACTGTTGGGGATTCTCAGACGTTTATGTTCCAATGTGGCGTTTCCCGCAATGGAACATATCTTGTAGGGTCATATGAAGGAAGAACTTGGAAGGAGGTTGTATTGCAACATCGCTGGTGCGTCTTAGGTGTTCACTGGTTATCCTAAGATTCCTCCTCCTCATCCTCCTCCTCGTCCTCGTCCTCAGCATCATCATCATCATCATCATCATCATCATCATCATCATCATCATCATCATCATCATCATCATCATCATCATCATCATCATCATCATCCGTCCTCATCATCAGCATCATCATCATAATCATCTTCATCAGCAGCAGCAGCATCATCATATTAGCATTCATCATCCTCAACATCATCAGCATCATCAGCATCCTCATCACCATAGTATTATTCCTCTGATTCACCATCATCAGCATTACCATCATCATCATCATCATCAGCATCATCATTAACAGCATCATCATCATCAGCAGCAGCATCATCATCAGCAACAGCAGCATCAGCATCAGCATCGTCGTCATCATCAGCAGCATCGTTATCGTCATCGTCACCTCCACAATCACGATCACCATCGTCACCATCATCACCACCATATCCACCATCATCATCATCAGCATCAGCATCAGCATCAGCATCAGCGCCAGCAGCATCATTATCAGCATCACCACCAGCATCATCACCATCACCATCATCAGCATCAGCACCATCATCATCATTTGCAGCATCATCAGCATCATCATGAGCATCATCATCATCATCATCATCATCAGCAGCATCAGCATCATCATCATCATCATCATCATCATCATCATCATCATCATCATCATCATCATCATCATCATCAGCATCATCATCATCATCATCATCATCATCCTCGTCACCATCATCGTCATCATCAGAATCATCTTCACCACCTCCATCACCATCACCAACCATCGTAATCCAGCAAATCGTCCGTTGCCTCAGTGCGACCATGACGCCATGCATTGCGCCATAGGTGTCACCAAGCCGCTAAATTGTCCAGTAACTGAAAGGGGATACCGTGTCGCCGTAAATTTCGCTGAAGGTTGCACCATAGCTTGAGCCAGACACCCTGCCAGACACCAAATCGCCACTTGCCCTAGTGGATGCACCATTGCGCCATACAGTGCGCGAGAAAGTGTGCCATGGGCTTCTCGGTTGGTTGCGCAAAAGCTTGCGCCAGGCACCCCAAAAGCCACCAAATCGTCAGTTGCCTCAGTAGGTATGCAGCCTCAAGGTCTACAAACAAAAACCTTACAGCATTCGCTGCTTAGACAGACATGCTCGTCAAAAGAAACTGTGTATCGGAATTTCAGGTGCACCATGCGGAAAAAAAGGATAAGCAAACGGAAGGGAGAGGCAAGCTAAGTGCGCTCGCGCCAGATCAGACATCCCACCCCGCCCGTCCCTCCCCCCTTCCTTGCGCTGAATTCGTTTGTCTCCGCCGACCGAGGCGTCCTAGAGGAACGTGAGCTCCAAACTGACCCCATCGTGTGATACGCTAACGGAAAGAGATTTCTGTAGATTGGAAAAGAAGGGTGAGCAGAACGAGAAGCAGGAGTTGGCGGGTGAATCTCAAAATGGGCAGGAATAAGAGGCGGACGATGAGGAAGGGGGAGAAAGAACACTGTCATTGGGGACACTGTGATTGGGGCATTCGGTAGGGGCTCCCTATGGGGCCACGAAACGTGCGAATGGGTGTGCCGAAATGGGTGGGGAACCGCATGTGGACACTGCCATTGGGGCCTTCGATGGGGCTCCCTATGGGGCCACGAACCGTGCGAAGGGTGTGCCGAAATGGGCGGGGAACCGCATGCGAGCGCAGCCACACCGCATGCGAGTGCAGCCACTGGGGCCGTAGGCGGAGCTCCCTATGGGTCTACGACAAGTGTGAGGGGTGTGCCAGCGCAGGCACTGTGGCCTTAGGTGGAGCTTCCTATGGGGCCACGAAACATGACAGGGGTGTGACATAAGGGGCCCGGAATCACCCGCGAGCGCAGCCACTGGGGCCTCAGGTGGAGCTCCCCAGGGAGCAACGAAACGTGTGAGGGACCTGCCGAAATTGGAAACCGCATGCGAGCGCAGCCGCTGGGGCCTCAGGTGAAGCTCCCTATGGGGCCACGAAACGTGCGAGGGGGGGGCCGACATGGGCGGGGAACTGCGTGCGAGCGAGGCCACGAAACGTGTGAGCAGTGTGTAGAAATGGGTGGGGGACCGCATGCGAGCGCAGCCACTGGGGCCTTGGGTGGGGCTCCATATGGAGCCACGAAACGTGTGAGTGGTGTGCCGAAATGGGCGGGAAGCCGCATGCGAGCGCAGCCACTGGGGCCGTAGGCGGAGCTCCCTATAGGGCCACGAAACGTGTGAGGGGTGTGCCGACATGGTCGCGCGGAGAGCAGAAGGAAGAGGAGGGGGGAGGGGCGATGAGGAGGGGGGGGAGGAGGAGACGCGGGGACTCTTTCCAAAACGAGGACCTATTATCACAGGATAGTTGGGAAAACTGTAACACCTCAAATCGTGCGAAGGAAAACACGCCGGCGAGGCGACAGCAGCACTGGACAGCAGTAGGGGAGAGGGGAGAGTACCCACACGGTGCAGGTTGTCCAGGAAGACAGCTTTGAGCGGGAGGGATGGAAGAGAGGAGCAGGAAGGAGGGGAGAGCAGGACGGGGGGAAAAGGGAATAGAGGGAGGAGGGCGAGGAGGAGGGAGGGGAAGGAGGAGGAGGAGGAGGAGGTCGACGAGGAGGGGGGAGGGGAAGGAGCCAGAGGAGGACGAGGAGGAGAAGGAGTGGGTAGAGGAAAAGGGGAAGCGGAGGCCGACGAGGGGAGGGGAAGCTTCGGGGGGGGGGGGGGGGCGGGAGGCGCGCGCGCGGGGGGTCCACTTGGAATGGCGAGAGGCCCGACGAATCTCCCTCACCAGCGTAGCCGCCTCCTGGGGGGGCGGAGGCGGTCGAGGGCAGGGGCAGGCCACGGAAGAAGGAGGCGAGACGAAGGCGAGCGAGGAGGAGAAAGGGAAGGAGGAGGAGGGAAGGGAAGAAGACCAGTTAGGGAGGCACCAACTATACACCAACACCGATCCTGGCCAGGATCACCCCGGGCCCAGGATCGGTGTATACGCCCTCCTGCCTTGCGCAAGAAGGCATATACACCGATCCTGGGCCCAGGGTGATCCTGGGCCAGGATCGGTGTTGGTGTATAGTTGGTGCCCTCCGACCAGTGTTAACCCAAGCCTCTGCAAACGATGTTGCCTTGAACCTTCCCGCCAAGCTCCCTCCTCAGAGGCCCCTACAAGGATTCCTTTCCACTGGAATAAGTGGCCCGTTGAAGTCAGACGTGTGAAAAAACATGATTGGGACTTCAACGCCACGAATCAACCACATTGTTGCGTCTTGACGATCCTGAATCGTGTCAAAACACCAATCCTGGGGCCTCAACACCGCGAATCAACGAAATTGTTGCGCCCTAACAATACTACATTTCTCAAAAACACCATTTCTAGGACGAGCCGTGAGAATCCTTGAAACTCTTGATTTTGAACGCCAATGTGCACGGCGCCAAAGCGAGAACCGCAGATTGAAAACGACCCGCAGTCCATCCGCGAAAGTATTGCAAGTTGTTTGAACGAATGCGCGCGGCGCTAAGGCGAGAGCCACATTTTGAAAAGTGGCCGCCGTCAATCCGTGAAACCCTTGCTCATGTGTGTGTGTGTCAAACGAATGGGCACGGCCACATCTTGAAAACGGGCCGCCCTCAATCAGTGAAACTCATGCAACACGTGTAAGGCGCATGCGCGGCGCTAAGGCGAGAGCCACACTTTGAAAACGGACCGCCCTCCATCTGTGAAACGGTTGTCCAATGTCAGACTTCAGGATCAAAAATGGCGTGGGAAATCTCGGGCGAAACGCCCAGCCCGCCCTTCCGACCGGCCTCGGGGTGCGACAGGGGGAATTATTTCAAGGAGAAGCAATGAATAGAGAGAAGAATATCAGGACGCGGAGGGGGGTGATGGTGGGAGTTCTGAAAGGTTCCTGGAGGGGGGGGTCCTGTATGAGACCCTGAGGTGTTTGGGAGGATTCTGGTGGGTTCGGGAGGGATACCAGGAGGAAGATCACTGGCGACGGCGACAGCAGGACCAGTACAGCACTGACAAACCAGCCTCTTCCCCAATTCGAAGAGAAAATACCATCGCGCATATATGCATGTACATGTGTAAATGTATGTAAATATGGATGAGTACATGCATACGCATGAGATTAAACATGATTGCCAGCGTGGACCCCCAACAGTAATGTATTGCAGTGTGGAAGTGGAAGCTATGTAGTGCAATACACGTGTCCACTATGTGGGGCAAACAATGTGGTGCGAGTTATGTGATGCAAAATGTGTGGTGTAAGCTATGCGGTGCAAGCTATGTGGTGACGGTGTAAGCTGTGCGGAGCAAGCTACGTGGTGCAAGCTGCGTGGTGTAAGCTATGCGGTGCAACATAGATTGTATAAGCTGCGTGGTGTAAGCCATGCGCTAGAAGCCGTCGGGTAAGAGCTACGTGGTGCAAGCTACGCGGCCGCCCAGCGCACGAGGCGCCCACAAGGCGCCCACGGGCGGGCACCAGGCGAAACCTCGGCTGACCCACCCAGCGCACGAAGCGCCAACGCGGCGCCTACGAGCGGGCACCAGGCGAAACCTCAGCTGACCCACCCAGAGCACGAGGCACCCACGTGCGGGCACGGGTCGAAAGGGCGGGCACCAGGCGAAACCCCGGCTGATTCATCCGGTACCTACAGGAAGACAAACAAGAACCCCTAAGTGCAAGCACTGTTGTTTGAGGAATCAAGAACGAGCTCATTCCAGCGCGGGCTCCACACAGTGAATCAGTGGTGTGACCCATGTGGTGAAATATGTACGGTGATACGTATATCCGCCACCGTACCTGGAGGGACCAAGTGGAACGACCTCAGGTCCTTCGAATATTGAATACTCAGTCGGGCATATTAAATATTGAGGGGCCTGCACCCCGAATTGCTCGATGTCCTGGAGTGTGCCCGCGTGTTCCCGCGAACCTCCTGTGACTTCCCGAGTGACTTTTCTGGAGGTCAGAGGGTCCCAAGACGGGCGAAGAGGGCCCCAGCAGGCTCCCAAGACGGTCCACGAAGGCTCTGAGACGGCCGAAGAATACCCGAGACGCTCAAGATGGTCTCTGCACGAATAAAGAGGCCCCCAAGACGCTCCAAAAGGCCCCCACGAGAACCCCCGAGAGGGCCCAAGATACAAAAATCATCGCTTGCCCTAGGTCTTTGTCTGATTTTTACGTTATCGCATTGCTGGCTTCAAGCTCCAAGACGGTCCAAAAGGTCCCCTAGATCGCCCCAATACGGCCCAAGAGGGCCCCAAGATGGCCCCGAGAGCGCCCACGAGGTCCCCAAGAGCATCCCAAGAGGGCCCAAGAGGCAATGTTTCGGTCACGACCCCATCCCTTTTGAGCCATGGGGCCAAAGATCGCCCCAAGAACCCCCCAAAGAGCCCCAAGACACCCCAAAACCACCCCCAAGGACCCCCCAGAGGGCCCCAAGAGAGAGCCCCCAGAGAACCCCAAGAAGCCCTCAAGAAGACACCGAGGTTGCTCCAGAGGTCCTCCAAGAGGCTCTCACCACGAAAGATCCCCGAAGGCCACCTCCTCATTATTCTCATCATGTCCGTCATTCCTTCCGGTTTCAGTATCCTCCTCCTCGTGCCTCCTCCCTCCTCCTCCACCTCCTCCTCCTCCTCATCATCATCATTCTCCTCCTCCTCCTCCTCCTCATCCTCCTGCTCCTCCTCCTTCTACTCCTCCTCCTCACCACCATCATCATCAACATCATCAACAGAAGCAGCAACAGCCGCAGCCGCAGCAGCAGCAGCATCAGCATCAGTAGCAGCAGCAGTAACATCAGCAGCATCGTCAAAATTCGGATCAGCATCATCATCATCATCATCATCATCATCATCATCATCATCATCATCATCATCATCATCATCATCATCATCATCATCATCATCATTTTCATCACCATCATCATCAGCATCATCATCATCACCATCATCATCAGCATCAACATCAACATCGTCATCAACATCAGCAACATCATCATCAGCGTCAGCATCAACGTCAACATCATCCGCACCATCAGCATCGTCATCAGTAGCAACCTCAGCATCATCATCAGCAGCATCGTCATCAGCATCAGTGTCATCGTCATCGGCATCGGCCTCGTCATCACCCTCTTAAATAACAGCATCAGCATCATCATCGTCATTACGTTATCAGCATCACCATAGTATCGCCATCGGATGCGTAATCATCCTCAGCAGCAGCATCATCACCGTAGTCAACAGCATCAGCAGCAGCAGCATCGTCATCAGCATCATCGTCATCATCAGCTTCACAACTGGCATCATCATCATCAGCATCGTCAGCATAATCGTAATCCTCATCCTCACCATCATCACCAACAGCATCGTATTAGACATCAGCATCAACAGCATCATCATCAGCATCGTCCCCACCACGATCGCCATCATCATAATCAACATCATCAGCAGCAGCAGTATCATCACGTTCGTCATCATCATCACCATCAACAGCAGCATCGTCATCATCATCATCGGCATCATCATCAGCAGCATCGGCAGCAGCATTATCATCATCAGCATCAGCAGCACCATCAGCATCATCATCATCAGCATCAGCATCAGCATCATCCCCCACACGAGTCCCAAAGATGGCCCGACGAGGCACTCCAGGAACCGCCCTCCTCGCTCTCAGAGATATATCATTTCACCGTTTGGATCCCATGTGTTTCACCATGTGTATGCTCCTCTTTTCCCCGTCGGCTCACGTGGGCATCGTTTCTGAAAGGGCTGGTGGGGCTACTTTTGGTCAGCGGCTCCGAGCCAACGGACAGGGAGAGGAAGCGGCGTCCGGGTCACGGTACGGGGCCAATTTGCGAGACAATTCGCCGCCAGAGTCGGCGGACAAAGCTCGCACCTGCAAGACAGGCTCGCAGTTGCACGTGCACAACACAGAATGCACTAAATTCACAGGGCAAACGCACCTAAGCGCCGCGGCCCGAACCAAAGTGAGCAGGCCACCGTGTTGAATGTGCGGATGCAACGAAGTGAGTCGCCAGGGCGGCGCCAAACTCCGTGGCCGACCTGCACAAGCCGAACGGCTGCGCGGCCGGAGCCAGAAACAGTGCGCGACAGAGGGAAAACCAAAGGCTGTACAGGCGTTGCAGGCTGAACCACTCAGCGCCCAGTCCTCAGTAATCCGCCTCCCGGTGCCGAAGGGAGCCATGATCCCTGAAGCGAAGAGATCCGCTGGCGTGGGGAGCACCGCCGTCGGGTGGGAATGGTCGGCACACTGGTGGTGGTGACGACTGCGCTGCCTGCCAGGGGGGTCCTGCTGCAGTGAAGCTGAAGTGGCCAGCCAACCCAGACTGTCGCATGGCGCTGCCCCTGCACCCTAGCGCCGACACACACCAGGTGTCACCCCGAAGACGTGACAACTGCCGCTGGAGGGGCCAGGAAGGACCATGAGCAGCGCGAACCACGGTGCGAGCAGGGAGGGGGGGGGCCACAGCCCAAACGCAAATGCCGCGTCGGGCGAGCCCCGAAGCCACGGGCGGGGGACGCCCACCGAGCCTTTGAGGGGAGAGGCGAGGGGACGCAACGCCTCGCCCCACGGCCAGGTACCCTGCAGCCGTGGGCCAGGGCCGCGGGCTGCCACATGGAACGTCCTGGGGGTCGCCGCTACTCGCCGCGAGCGCCTGCGTGGAAGAACGGGGGGTCGCAGCTAATCGCCGCTAGGATCCATGTACATCGTGTGGGTCGCAGCTAATCGCCGCTGAGGTCTCTGTTGAATGTGTGCGAACGGGTGATGGCCCACCGAGGCCGCAGTCCACTGCGAACGGGTGACGGCCCACCAGGGCCGCAGCCGACGCGGAATGTGGGCCAGCAGCGAGATGCGCCTCCGGGGGTGGGCCCTGGGGAGCCGCAGCTGCTCGCCGCTGGCGCTGAATCTGCCAAAACTGGGGCCTGAAATGACAGGCCGGTAGGCTGGCGCGCAGGGGGGGGTGCTTCTGCCGACGTCCCCCTGTCACCGAAGGGTGGGTGGCTGTCGCCGCTGGACAGCAAAGGTGGGTGGCGCGCAGGGGGGGGTGCTTCTGCCGACGCCCCCCTGCCACCGGAGGGAGAGCGGCTGTCGCCGTAGGACAGCAAAGTGGGTGGCCCAGGGACCGGTCAGCCCAGCGGGCTGGTCCCCTGATGAGCAGGGGGGTGAAATGCCAGGGAAGGGTCCACGTATCCAGTGTGGGCTGTCTAGCTAAGCAGCGCCTTGGGTGAGATGTGGGGTGACCCCCGCCCCAGCGGATGTTGCCCCAAGGTATTACGGCCAAGGCCGGGCGCTGCGAGGTGAAACAGTCCCCTACGGGGGGGGTGTAAGTTGGTGAGGGTGTCGGAGGCCACTGGCCTGGAAGGCCGGGGGTGCGCTGACAGGTTGACCGGGCCCTGCTAGCCCTGGGCGTAAGAGTCCTCCCTAGCCCACCATCGGGCGCGCTTGTCCGTGTATCGGTCGTCCACCCTGGGGGAGTACCGCTTACCTTTTCCTTTCCAGTCCGTGTCCGCCCATGGGGCTTTCTGCTGGCCCCAGGAGTTCCACTCCTGCCAGTCCTGCCACTGGCCGGGGGTGTTGCGGTCGAAACTTCAAGCTTGACAGGTTTAGGGTAGCCTCTCGAAACATCCGAGAAGGACAGGCCCAGACAACAGAGCAGGAGACCAGCCACGTGATGGTAGACAACGCCGAGCAGCTGGCAGAAGATGTGGAGGAGCAGCAGCAGGAACCTACAGTCAGGAAATTGTGTTCAGATTGTCGCGGCGGCGGCCACGGCGACACGCTGTCATGCGAACGGATGGCGTGTCGCTCCGATCCGCGGGGCGGGGGGGGGCGGAAACGCTCGGGACGTTGAATCTGGGCGGCCGTGAAGCGGACAGCGCGTCGCACCGAAGCGTGGTGTGCCAAAACCGGCGAAGCGACACGCTGAGCCCATGCCTCCCACCCTCCAGTCGTTTTCACGTGGAGCGCTTCCGATAAGACCGCACCGCCAAGGGCGGGCGTGGAGCGGGTCGCGGCTTGCTCCCGCGCGCGAGTCCAGGCCACAGGCAGATGGGAGGTGGCAGCCAACTTACGAGCCTGGGAGACACTGGAAGGAGGACGGGAGGGAGGGAGGGAGGGAAGGGCAGGAGGGAGGGGAGGAGGAAGGAGGGAGGAGAGACGAGGCTCTGGAGGGGAGGGGAGGGGAGTGGAGGGAGGGACAGGAAGAGGAGGGGAGGGGAGAGAGGGGAGCGACGGAGCGAGTGAGGTGGGGTAAGCGAGGCGAGGGGCGGGGAGGAGAGGAAGGAGTGGAGAGGAGGAGGGAGAAGGCAGGACACAGGAGGGGGAGGGCGGGCAGGAGACTGAGGAGGGGATGGCCAGATGGCTGGGGACGGCGGGAAAAGGGCCAGCGGGGACGGCGGGGGGGAGGGCTCCTGGTCCAGCCGGGCCCGCTCGTCCCACAGCCTGATGCGTTCGGCGCGCACCTCTCGACGGGCGCCCGCGCGGGGGGCGGCAGAACGCAGAGGCCGAGTGCGGAGCAGCAGGCACAGAGCTGGCCGAGCGGGCAGGGCCACCAGCTGGGGTCACTGCGCCTCACCTCCATCCATCCGTCGGCCATCCGTCCCGCATCCACCACCGCCGATCCCTCGCCGAAGACGCCCCCATACTGATTAGCCAACTTGCCAGCACGGGTATTACCCGCGATCTTGAAGACCAACTCTGGGGAGGTGGAACGCTCGGGCTCGTCATCGAAGTGCCTTGGTATCCACTGGACCTGGATCTCCTGTGCCCCTGGAAGACGACGAGGGAGGAGGAGAGAGGTAGAGGCGAAGGAAGAGGGAGGACGACGACGAGAGAGGGATGGAGTAGGGAGGCAGGGAGTAAGGAAGGGAGGGAGAAGGAGAGGGGGACGGGATGATGATAGAAAGAAAAGGGAGGGGGAGGACGAGGAAGGAGGACGAGCAGGACAGGGAAGCGCCCTTCCCCTTCCTCGTCCTCCTTCTCCTCCTCATCATCATCAGCATCATCAGCATCATCAGTATCGTCATCATCGTCGGCGTCATCATCATCACAAATATAGTGATAATCATCATAATCATCATTATCCTCATCATCAACATCAGAATCATCGTCGTCGTCCTCGTCGTCATCCTTATGATCACCAAATAGATAGGAGGACAGGAGGAGGACGAGAGGAGGATGGGAGGAGGACGAAAGGAGGACGGGAGCAGAACGGGAGGAGAATGGGAGGAGTAAAATCAAGCAAGCGCAAGCAAGCGAGCGGAAGCAAGCAAGCGCAAGCGAGAAATAACAAGCAAGCAAGAGCCAGCGAACAAGTGCAGGCAAGCAAGGGCAAGCAAGAGCAAGCAGGCCAGAGCAAGCACACAAGAGCAAGAAAGCAAGTGCCATTGGAAAAATGGGGGCATTGGAGAAAGGGGGGGGCCATTGGAAAGAGGGGGGGTGCTAAAGACCAACTACTTCTGATGAGCTAGGACTCCTATAGGGCAAGCCGATTTGGATCCTCATCAACATCGTCATCATCATCATCATCATCATCATCATCATCATCATCATCATCGTCATCCTCCTCCTCCCCATCATCATCATCATCATCATCATGGTCGTCGTCGTAGTCATCATCGTCATCGTCATCATGACCATCACCAACAACATCATCATCACCAGCACCATCATCAGCATCATCGTCATAATCGTCATCATCATCACAAATACGGTCGTCATCATCAGCATCATCAGCATCATCATCATCCTCATTATCATCCTCCTCATCATCATCATAATCATCGTCGTCGTCCTCGTCGTCATCATTATGATAACCAACATCATCAAAATCATCATCATCATCATCGTCCTCCTCCTCCTCATCATCATCGCCGTTGTCGTAGTCATCGTCGTCATCATCGTCATCGTCATCCTGACCATCACCATCAACATCACCATCACCAGAATCATCATCATCATCATCGTCATCATCATCATCATCATCATCATCATCATCATCATCATCATCATCATCATCATTACAATTATCAGAATTATCTCCCCTTCCAGGGCCTTGTTGATGCTGCCCCGGTCGTCCTGCAAGGCACCGAGCAACCTGTTCCGGTCCTGCTCGGCGCCGCGCTGCCTGGCGAAGAGGTCCTCTCCGCAGGAGCGAGGAACGCGGAGCATGGCAAGCATGACACTCCTCCCCCTCCTCCTCCGCCTCCTCCTCCTCCTCGTTGTCATCATTTTCCTCCTCATCATCGTCATCTTCATCTTTCTCCGCCTCCTCCTCCCTGTCATCACTACCATCCTCATCATCGTCATCCTCCTTCTCATCATCCTCATCGCCATCACCATCATCATCATCATCATCATCATC